AAAAATCGAAAGCTCAATTTTCGTAAATATCATAGTCTACAAGTGCTAGCAACAGTTAGTGTAGTTAGAGGATGAAAAGTCATGAAATATTGGGCGGTTAGACTTGATCTTCAATTAGCTTTGCGGAATTTGAATTCTCTAATAAAGATACTGTATCAATGACGATATCAACAATGATGGAAAATGATTTCGATGATTTTATATTGTAACTCTGAAAAACAATTAATAATACCGATTGGCTTTTATATAATATTTTCAGGAAAGTGTTGACAAGACAATTCAAAATCATCAAAGCAAATGCTAATAAGTTCTTAAAAGTAGAGGAAGATAAATGAAACTGCTCAACCAGAAAATTAGTTGCTATCAAATACTTAGATGTTTACAGAATAAAAATCATTGAAAAATAAATTGTACTAACACTAAAATTTGTATTGTGTACCTATGTTGAAATTGATGGGTTTCAAATGCAGAACATCAATAAAAAATCTCAGATTACAAATAGCAATGTGAAGACTTCAATCATTGTATTAATCAGAATAGACTAATAATCAAAGCGAATTCTCTTGAATATCTTATGTTTGATAAGTAATTTCGTAATACCAATATTCCGTGGTAAAAGGGTTTCGCAGCTATTGACGCAACCATCACGATAATCTGAGAGTGAAGTGTACATCTATCATCCAGTTGAGGAGTTTGAGTTGATTTAATACAACATGCTTAACGCCACATGAAGGAAGTATATGAGCAGCTAAAGTAAAAAAAGCATGCGGTATCTTGCTTTTACTATGTGTAAGATATTTATAGCTTATGATCTAACTAAATGGTGCGGAGTTGGAGATGCTTTCATGCAACAAGGCTGAGAAGATTAGCCAAAGGGAATGGCATGGGTAATGAAGAGAAATACCAAGATATTTTATTCGACTAGGGTATTGAGGGTTGGTTGCAATGCTAAGATAAAATCTTATTATTTTGTGCTAGTGGTGTTTCAAATTGATTGAAGCAGAAAAAGTAGAACTCTTGATAACGCTGATAACGAGACGAATACGACTAGGTCTCATGAGTTTATATTTGTTTTTCTGCTCGTTTCCATTACTCATTTAACCAATATTCAGAGACAACAATCATCGGTAGAGTCCTGGTCTTTCCAAAAATTGAACCGAGAATCGAACCGGAACTGCAACCATGAAATAAAAGAAGTTGAAACCAGTACCGTTAGGATCAAACAATTTTGTTTTACTGAGGGCGTAGGTTTGGGTGTTGAAGAAGAAATCATCAATACCCATACTCATCTCTATTGTATTATGTTGAACATGATCAAATAATGCTCAATTTTCTCTATAAATTCATAATTATTTTAATCACTATGATTAAATATTTCTTATTGCTTTATAAAAGAGTAAAGGGAAGGATAATTAAAACAACAGGTTAGATGAATTAAAGTAATGATGGTTATTGCACTTATAGGTCCATGTTATTATAACACAGTTACGAAATATCACATAGTATATCTATAGCATCGTTATTCTTTAGATAGCCGACGTTTTTTTCACTGTAGTGGTGACTAAGATAGTCTCCTAAAGCAAGAAGTAGAAACGGTAGTGATTAGATTAGAATGAGTAAATGTATATTTACAGCACACGTGTGTGACTAATACATGACACCATATCTGCGAAAGAAAGAGAAAAAACTTGTTGAATGACGAAAATAGAAAAAACAAAGCAAAAGAATAACAAAAAACCATTTGCATTCATCTCACCTGGCAATCTAACATACACAACTATTATAGAATTGTTACTGTTTATTGAGTTCTCGTTGTTTTAGATAAATAACAAGGTGTCATGAGTGAAACAGATCATTTATTCAGTGGTGCAGCACCCTTATATCCTTCAACGGAATCTTTTAGTGATATAAAATCAACAACACCAATACCACCATCATCATCATCATCATCACCGCCACAAGGTACTGCACTTCCAGTTGCTTCTCAATATCCACAAGTTGAATATAATTATGGATGGTCTGGATGGAAAGATCGTGGCTTTGCTATTGCATTTTGGATTCATTTTATTGTTGTAGTTGTACTTGGTTTTGCATTAGGTATACCTGCTATTCGTGCAGATGCACAAAAATCTTATGATGATCCTACACGAACTGTATTTGATTATAATGCTGATTTATTTATTCGTATTTTTGCTGGTGCTGCAGTTTTAAGTGGATTGGTTGCATTTGTCGCGTTTTTTGTTCTACAACGATGTGCTGGTCGCATTATTAAATGTTCACTTTACATGGGTGTAGCAATGCAAATTTTACTTTGTATAACTTTATTTGTAGTTGCTTGGCCTATGGGTATTATAACACTTATATTTGTTCTTATTTCACTTTGGTATATCTATTATGTTCGAAATCGTATTGCATTTGCTGAAGCTCATATACAAGTTGGATGTTCTGCATTACGTAGTCATCCATCAATTTTATTGGTTGCTATAGGAATGTTAATATTACAATTATTATGGGTATTGTTTTGGAGTTTAATGGCATTAGGTTTTGAACATGTTGTAAATCGATCGAATGATAAAGACTCATCATCAAATAAATCTGCAGGTGGTTTATTGGCAATTGTTTTATTAACATCTTTATATTGGGGAGCATTAACATTTCGAAATATAACACATTTTGTAACAGCATGTGTTGTTGGTCAATGGTGGTTTATAGCAGATGCACATAGACAATATGCAGTTGAAAGAAGTCTTCAACGTGCATTTACAACAAATTTTGGTACAATATCATTTGGTTCATTGATACTTGCTTTTATAAAAGCTTTACGTGTTGTTGCACAAATAAATGAAAGTAACGCACGTCGAGATGGAAATATTCTTTTATTACTAATAAGTTGTTGTGCTGTATGTATACTTCGAATATTTGAAGGTTTAGTACGATATCTTAATGAATGGGCATTTGTATTTTCTGCATTAACTGGACAATCATTTCGTGCTGCTAGTCGAAGTTTTCTTGATTTATTTCAACAACGTGGTTGGACAATGATTATTAATGATGATCTTGCAGGAAGTGCTTTAACTATTGTGACTCTAGCTATTGGATTTATTTCAGCAGGTATTGGTGGTGTAGCTACATATGTTGCAATGCCACATTCACATTCACGAGCTGCTATTGCTGGTATGGCAGCACTATTCTGTTTTACCATTGGTCTTGCAATGGGAACAATAATGGCATCAATTTTAAGTTCTGGTGTACGAACCGCATTTGTATGTTTTGCTATGAATCCATCAGCATTAGGTACAACACATCCTGAACATTTACAAAATTTACTTCTTGCTTGGTATCAATTTCATCCACAAGAATTTGCTGCTAGTGGTTTTGCAATGCAGTTTCCCAAACCAGCTGCTTCTGCTAGTAATGTTTATGGTGCTGTATAGATAAACACAAACGCTACTTCTTTTTTTCTTTTTTAATGAACCTTTTTTGCATAAAATTTTTATTGTAATCGAAAATTTTCCAATAAATATAAGAATTGATCCATAAAAATTGATTTTTCTTTTGTTGAATTTTTCTTTTTCGTCTTTTCATTGTTAACACATATATATGTCATATCTTGTTTGTCTTATTATTCGAAAAAAAATTGTTACAAACATAGACAAAGAAAAAAAACGATAGACACATTTAAAAAAGAAAGAAAGAAATAGAATATCATCGACACCGTGACATACACAAGACAAAAAAGAAAAAACAAATTATGGATTATAATAATACCGATGATAGATTTTGGAAAATAGACAAACATTCAATAAGAAAACACGACATAGACATACATACATACAAATAAAAATCAATTGTAAAAGAAAATTATGTTCAAGAGTCGATAAAATGCTCGTTCACAATTATTTTTTTTTTGTTTTTTTTTAATCGAGCAAACTAAAATGATGATACTGTTCTGTGAAGAAGAAGAAGAAGATTTACACAAACACATACATGAATTTGGATAGATATAATTCGACTTCACATGAATGTTAAAACAAAATCAATCTAAGCACTGCTCAATGATGTGACTATAGAAGAAGAAAACAAGACAGACAAATAAGTATTTTGTACAAAAAAAACGAATAAAAAGAAATTGATGTGGATATGAACATCATCATAGTAATAATAATAGAAATCGGACTGTGTTTGCTAATGAATAACAAAAGTCAAACAAATAAAAGAGCAACACAGTTGTTATTGATTTAAAAAAGAAAAAGAAACAAAGTTTGACAATAAAATTCCTGAGAAATAAAGAAATCAAAAGTATCGAGGCAGTAAGAAAAGGAAAATACGCATAAACATATAACAAAGTTTGAGAAAGAAAACAAAAACAAAGAGTAAAGAACAATAACAAGAAGAAAACAATTGAACAATTTTGGCAAGTCAATTCGTTCATTCGAAATGATGCAATGTTTTTTTTTGTTTAGAATTAAACTTCCTTTTCTTTTCAGTCAAATTATGAAAAACAAAACGAACAAAAAAAAAGAAGCAAAAATAGAGCATTATACCTGATAATTTCGTCTGAATGTAGATATCTATATAATGAATTATTTTTTTTTTATCACTATCATTAGCGATCATTTCTTTTTCTTCTTATTAGGACACAAGAGATTCAACAGACACACAAAAACAAAACAAATACGTTAAAAGGTCTCTGCGAGGATAATCCTGTATATACATACATATGTGGGAATAGGAGAAAGAAAAACCTGCTAAGCAGATAAACTTTTTTTTTTGTTTTATTTAGTTTTTTTCTGTCTTCTTTAAAGACATATTGAGCAAACTCATAACACAATGATGACGATTTGTTTGCTTATTTTTCGCGTTTAAAACACCACAGAAAGAAATAAAAAGAAACAAAAGATAGATTGTTGCACTGTGAGCAGTAGATAAGAAAAAAAGTCCCTGAAGAAAGCTTGAGACAAAAAAATTGACCTGCAAATAGTGGAAACCACTAGAATCAATCAATAACCAGAGGAAATGAGAGCAGCAGGTGTACTTGATGGTCGACTAAGTGAAGTTGGACTTGTTTGATGGTTAACATCAGTTTCATCAGGTGATGATGATGTTGATGTAGGTGGTGATAATGATGAAATATCATTTGGATTGAGCGTTACAGTACCTGGATTATGACTATTTGACCGAACACCATTTCTATTATGAGGTGTCATTGTTGATGATTGATGTACATCATCATCATCTTCAATAATAGCACCTTCTTCATCTATTGTATAATTCATTGATTCAATTAATGTTTCACCTTGTTGTTGTTGTTGTTGTTCTTTTTGATGTTCTTGTAAAATTCTTCGAAGTATTGTACGTGCATTTAATAAATTTTTTGTATCTGCTGAAGAATTTGTTGATGTTACTGTACATTTATTTGCTAAAAAATTTGATAATTGATTATTATTGTTATTATTATTGTTATTATTATTATTATTATTATTATTATTATTATTATTATTATTATTTGTATTATGTGATTGCGTTTGTTGATGTTGTTGAAAAGCAATTGCTTTTAATACAGCTAATGGTATACCCATTGAACGAAGTTCTTCATAACTTTTTTCATTTAATCCAAAAAATTGTTGTTGTTGTTGTTTGAATTTATCTTTTATTTCTTCATTATCATCATCTTCTAAATGAACAGTTTTTGTATTTGGTGTTAATTCAATTAATGTTCGATCATCATCTTCATCACTATGTACTTCATCAACAACTAATGGCATTGATACATCCATGGATATTTGGTGTTCATTTTCATCATCTTCAACTTCAATAGTCTTTGATTTTCTATGAGTATCTTCATTATTATTATTAAGATCTTTTAAACGTTCTTCATCAAGCATTTGATAAAATTTTGAACGTTTTTTAGGCGGCATTTTACGTATACGTTCCATAAGATCATCAACATAACCACCAACAGAAGTTATTGATAATTGTTGACGATCATCCATTTCAATATCTTTATCATTTGAATTTATTTTTGTTGTACGTTTAATTGACTGTTTTGTGTTACTATAATTATTATAATAACATGATGACGATGATGCTTCCGACGTTATTGATGAACCTGATTCTGTACGAATCGATGATGATACTGGTGGTGATTGATGACAAGCTGCTAAACCTGATTCATAACCACTTGATGCATTAGAAGTTGACTATAGAAAAAAATACAAAACTGTCTATGAAACTGTTTACTATGATGCTTTATTTTTTCATACCGAATCTTTTCTTGGTGGAATATATTCATCACTTTCATCATCACTTGCTCCACCATGACTCGTTGTCGATGAAAATCCACTTGAACGTCTTCTATAATTATGATATGCAGCTGCAACCATATCAATTTGTTGTTGTTGTGTTAATGTTGATGAATTATTTTGATTAATCCTTTGTCGAATAAGACATGGCGGTGGTATCGAATTAGTTGTTGCGTTTGGATATGATGCACGCATTAATTTATAACGTGGATCACTTGAATAAATATGCTGTTCGTCATGAGAATTATTTCCTGTTGTTGTTGTCGTTGTTGATAAAAGTTTAAGTGTTTCAGGATTAATATATGTTGATAATTTATTATGATTTACATTTGATGTATTCGAACAATTAATATAATTTTGAAGTTCATTTATAGGATTTGTTGGTGGTGGCGGTGGTGGTGGTTGTTGTTGATGATGGTAATGTTGTTGAGCATGAGCAGCCGCTTGTACAGCAGCATGCCAAAGTTTTGTTTGAGCTAATAATTTATTTTGTGCAGCAACTGCAACTGCTGATGAATATGCTGGTGGCGAACTAACACGTCGTTGTAATGATGGAGATAAATTATTTATATCCGAATTAACACGTGTTGCTGATGTTGAAGGTGGAGGTGGTAAATATGGTGAACGTTGTTGATTCACCATGATTTTAGTTGGTCCAGATGGATGAGGATGTCGACCGTTATACGGCGGTGGTTGTTGACGATATGAGGATAAAAGCCATTCAGCATGTTGTTGTTGTTGTTGCTGTTGCTGATGTTGCTGTTGCTGCTGATGTTGCTGTTGCTGTTGTTGTTGTTGTTGTTGTTGTTGTTGTTGTTGTTGTTGTTGTTTATATCGATCAGTTCCAAGTGCAAGTTTTTTTGGAACCGGAAGGCCTGTATCATGAGCAAATGTTTTTGAACTTGATTGAGTTGGTCGATGTAACATCGATGATGATTGTTGTTGATTTGTTGTTGATGATAATGTTTGTTGTTTATGTTTATTGATCATAGCTGCAGCTTGAGTACTTAAAAAAGCTCGATATGCTGCTGGATCTGTAACACCAGCTGACATCATTGCCGCAGCTACTGATAATTGATTAAGTGTTGGTGAATTGCTTCCTTGTGTATGCTCATTAATACGAGTTGATTTTTGTAAAGATGTTCCTGTTGTTGATGATTGTCGATGATAATTATTTGACATATTTATAAGTGGTTGTGTTGCTGATGATGATGGTGAACTTCGATCTTGTGATAGTGATAATGCTGCTGCTGCGGCTGTTGATGATGTTGATGATGTAGAATTCACATTTGAAACAGCCGCTGCTGCTGCAGCAGCTTGTGAAGCAAGTGCTGCTGCAGCAGCTGCACGTTTTCGTTTAAGACTATATTTTTTATATGGAGAATTATTTTTAAACGATGGATTTATTGTCCAAACATATTTAACAGGACCTTTCGATAATGATGATATAACAGGCACACGAATAAACTGATTATGTAAGGATAAATTATGTCGAATTGAATTCTATATTTGAAATAGAAGAAAAAAACAAGGTAAACAAACAAAGATTAATTTTAATAATTTTTTAATATTAAAGTAGGTGCCGAGTTTTTTTTTTTCTTAAAATCAAAACCAATAATAAGATATCGATTGTATTGAAATGAAAATGTAAAAAGAAAAAAAGAATTAATATTATAAATTTTTATGACTTTTAAATATTGATTCAAGAATTGAAAGTAATTCATAAATTACATTGTTTTGACAACTTCTTTTATTCCACTAGAAAGAAGGGAAAAAAAGTATTACGTAGTCAGATGATGTAATTTTTTTCTCGATAAAAATCTTTCCTTTATTTTAGTATTCATTTACCTTCCATCCCCAACTTGTTTTTGCATCAATTTTATCTTTAAAATAAGGTACAAATTTAATAATCCATTCATAAACTTCATTTAATGTTAAACGTTTCCATGGACTACTATCAATAGCACGCGTAATCAATTGAGCATAAGATAAATTACCCCATGGATTACGATATGTTTTATTGATACCAATACCAAGTTCTTGTATAACTGATTTAGCTAAACGTTTATCATATTCAACCAGTATATCACGTTTTTCTTTTCTATGGCGTGGCCATGTATTAAAACGTAAACGATCACGATGAACATTATTATTTGATGCATTTAAATCGACAAGTGAACTACTATGTGATAAACGTCGATGAGCATGATGGGCAGATGTTGTTGTAGACGAGGATGATGTTGTTGGTTGTGGTTCTTGTATATGATTATTTAATGAAATTGATGATGTTGGTGAGGGTGAGGGTGATTGTGTTCGATGATACATTGTATCTGATGGCGAATCCACAATTAATGATGAATAATCGCCAGTTGTAGACGGAATAAAATGATGATGAGATACATCATCGTCGTTGTCATCGTCAACGATGAGCGACACGTCAATTGGATGACGAGAACGGTGCATGGTCGGCACTACTTACTATCTGACCATTTGGCCACCATTGAATACTAACTTACAAAGCATCTGGAAGAGAAATAAAAACGATAAAAAAAAGGACTTATAGTAATAGAAGAGAAAAGAAAATTCATCGTTCTCTCATGGGAACCATCTGTTGGATATGTGCATGAATATATGAATATGTGTATTGCTTGAAAAATACATCCTGTAACATTATGTAATAAACAATTTAGAAATAGAGTTCAACTTCTCTGAGTCTCTTAAAATGGATATAGTAAAAATGTCACTCTTAACTGTGCTGCTGGCAGAAAAGAAAGAATGAAAAAAAAAAACGAGGAAAAAAAAAGCTGACCCTTTTACCTTCTCTCCTTCTCTTATGTGCGATCGTTTTTTTTCTCTTTTTCTCTCGTATTGCATGCATGGAAACGACAAGAGAAGCAAAAACACCACTACATAGAGCATCGTCCGATGATGTATTCTTCGAATAACTGTGCTTCTCCTTTTTTTTTTGTTATGCGCTCAAGCGTACGTCACCACATACTCTTTTCTCGTATTTTTTTTGGCGTGCGTCGCTTATACATTGCGCCCAAAACAAAGGAAAGCGCGACCTCCTTCTCTCTCTCTCTCTCTCTCTTTCTCTCTCGTATTCTTACACATATACGCAACAAAAGTCATCTCGAGCTTTTTTTTTTAGTAGAACGATAAGCCTGACCGCAAAAGTTTACGACAAGCAATGCATGGCGTCAGAAAGCAACGAAAGAAAAGAATTGATTTTGTATATGATACAATAAACGTTTCAAAAATACTCATACCGATGAAAAAGAACAATAGTGAGATAAAAACATTGGTCAAAGATAAACGACATGATGAATTCATGGAATGTACTATGTATTGAGTATGTGAACGAAATTGAAGACACAACGAATGTGTACATATTTTTTTTTGTGTGTGCTGTTGTTTTAAATGAATGAAAAAAAAAACAATTCTGTACAATACAATACATTCTTTCTGTTGTTCTTACATTCAACAGATGCTTCCCTTACTCTCTCTCTCTGTCTTTCTTGCTCTCTTCATTCATCACCATCATCATCAGCTCAAAAGATAAATAAATGTACCTATATATTGTAGACAAACGTACAAATATCTGTTTTTGAGTACATTCGTACAACAAAATAATCAATATAGGTAACAATATTTTAATTTAATTTATCAATGATATCTGATGAAAATGATAAAATATTCATACAATATTTTAAATTTCATTTGAACTTGTCTCAAGGCCCTATATTCCCATGTCTCCCATCTAGATAATAAAATAAATTAATGTAAAAAAAAAAAAAAAAAAAAGGAAAAAGAAAAGAAAAAGTAAAGTGTGATCTCGGACAATACAACACCTTGTCGTCGATTGCCTGATGTTTGTTTATTTTGCTTATATATCTATGGATATGTATGTGATGCTTTGTCGAAAGGGCATAGTGTGTACGCAATGAGCGAAGAGAAACCATCGCATCCTATATCCTATCCCAGTGGCCACAAGTACAAGGTTCTTTTTTTCTTTTTCTTTACGCAGTTTTGTCACATTATCGTTGTTGCTTCTCGACCAAATGCATGCACTTTTTTTTCTTACATACATACATACATTCATACTTCAGATGCGTACAGGCAGGCTCTTTGAGCAGAACAAAAAAGCTTTCTCTTTTTTTTTTTCTTTCACATACACATACATACTGAAGATGGAGAAAAAATAGCTGCTGGGCGCAAATGGCGAACAAGGTTGTCAATATTACGTAACGACGACGTGTGGGTGCGTGTGTATGCATAAGCGAGCGTTCTGTTTTTATTATTGACATAATATGTTACGATACGAGATGCATACACGTTCTCCTATTTTCTTGTTTCTATAGTAAAATACATACATTGGTTTTCTTTCTCTATATAATACACTATTATTAACCACCTAGAAAGAATAGAAAAAAAAACCTATTATAATACTAAGGAGACAGATGACAATGAAATAAGCATAGTTTTTAGACTCATTCTTCTCTATAACGAAAGGTAATCAGTCAATCGTAAAAGAATAAAAAATAGAAATCTTTTATTTATGAGTTAGCTTCATTATTTTTGAAAGAAAAGACAAATCTCTAATTCTTAAAACAAAGAAAAAAAGAAAACTAGGACAAGTGGTGACTATTTTTAGTCAGCTAAAAAACATCAAAATATATTAATAAAAAATAGAGCAAGAAAAACAACACAAACCTCTAATAATCAATACATTTTGTCGTTTCTCTATATATTGATGAATACAAATAATCGAGCCTTTTCTTGAAAATTGAATAAATAAAAAAATAGTTAGTCATCATTATATGATTAAAATAAAAATAAATAATAAAAAAAAAAAAAAAAAAAAAATGAGAACAATTACTCATTTAATGCGTAGTAATAGTAGAATAAATAATGCTATGGAAAATGTGTCATGTTGTCTTTCTTTTTCTTTTTTCTTTGCCTTACATTAAGAAAAAAAAAAAAAAAAAAAAAAGAAGAAAAGCAAGAAAAAATAATTATGATTAAGAAAAACTATCGCTGAAAATATCATGAAAATCTATTAGTAATTGAACGTGCTTAAGTGGCCGTAGAAAAGAAAGATTATTATTTTTCTGACAATACTTGTCATTTTTAAAGAAAACTAATTTTGAGTACATAAACTCTTACCGCTTTCTGCTTCTTATTATCATTACACAACAGGTGAACTATAAGTAAGAAAAAAAAAAAACGAGATCCAAGGTGAACAACAAAATAAAAAGAAAAAAAAATCCTCTCTGTTCTCTTTCCTCCTACTTGCCCTTTTTTGCGTGTCTTTGTATATTTTACCAATACATCAATCTTCAATTAGTATTACATCATCTTCAATGACTTTGCAATTGAATTTAATATACATAAAATTAATTTCGAATTAAAGAAAAAAAAAAAAATGAAAAAGAACAAGAAGAAAAGTCAATGTTATATATTAGTAGTTTTGAGATTTTTATCGAATATCAATTCTTGTATCTTTATCAATATGTTAAGAATGTATGAACGATAAAAGAAAAAAGAAAAAGATAGAAAAAAACTCTAACTTACGTTGTTTATGTTCATGTACACGTACATACATGCCTTCGTTGAGTCAACCTTCAAACTTGATTTAATGCTTTCTTTTTTTCTTTTATCTTGCTTGTGTCCCGTCCTATTTGCAAGGTCATAGAATACGAAGTAGATGATAAACATGTTCCAAGATAACTTGTTGATCTTACATAATAATAGATAGATGGAATACAAAATGCTTCTTTTTTTTTCTTACTCTTATTCTGTTTCTGTCTTCTTCTTTTTTTCCTCGCATTTCTCTAGGAAAACATTCTTTATTCATCACGTATAAACAGAACGATGAATAACTGTAATCTTTTGTCTTCATCAACTATTCAATGGTATATATGTTTTTATCTATAAACAGAATTCGATCTAACTATATTATTATATTGTTTATATCCGTTTTCTTTTTTTTTTTGCACTTTACTGATTTATAATTTTAACAGAATGATATATTACGCACAAATAATGAGGAGACATTGCTTTTTTAAAACACAAAAAAAATGTTATATATCAATTTAGTTTAATTTTCGATACCTGTGGTGTACAATAAACTAATAATAAAATTATTAAAGTTTTGTATATTTAAAACAACAGGCAACATCGATATTATATTATTATAAAAAAAAAAGGGACTATATTATAAAAAAAATTTAATAATGATAAAACAAGTCACTCTATCTTTCATCCAAAACATGTATGACCTTCATAAGTTGCCTTGAATTTCTTTACATAAGCAAGAAAAACGAGAAAAAAAAAAGAACTTTGCTTTCGGTCAAGGGCGCTTCGATTCGTTGAATTTCTGGAATCTCATTGTTCTTCATCGTTTTTACAAGGTTAAACTCTCTTTAGACATATACATACATACATGCATACATACATACATACAACATAACGACGAGTAATCAACCTTCAACGTAGCAGTAACATCAACAACAACGACGACAACGAGGCTTTCAAGGTTCGATTTTACTGTTGCTGCTATCAATTGTTGACGTTGGTATTTTCTTCTTTTCTTGCTTTTTCATCATAGCGTAATGATGTGTGTTCAAGAACAAATATTGCTTCTTGTGTTCTTCCTTGCTTGTCTCTTCCTTTTTTCTTTCTTTTCTTTCTCAAAAATACACAAATGTTATCAACATCGTACGATGACAATGAATGTGTATGACGCAATCGAATATTCTCTCTCTTTATATGATTAAATCAATGAACGAATATGTAAAGAAAAAAGACAAGAACTTATCGATCGAGTGTGTGACTCAAGGTTGCACTAAATATGCCTATGTGTATGCAACAACCTTGAGAATCTGTTCGAACTGGTCGTTGTCACATTAAATAGGATATTACTTCCATTTTCAAAACAGTGTATTCTTTTTCTCATTCGTTTTTTTATTTTATTTGATAATTTCACCTCGATTACGTACGCAATTTTTTTGCTTTTTTTCTCATACAAGCTGCTGTTCAAACACATATCTACGCATATATACAAATGAAGAAATAACCCTGAACGGACCTTGAACTATAATGTTGATGAAAGGAACACGATATAACAAGAGAATGAGAGTAAAGCAAAGAGAGAAAAAAAAGGTGCTTTAGATATATATATATATATATATATATATTCTTATTCTCGAATCAGTGCAAAAACAGAATAAAGAAGCCTGTTGTAAACAAGAAAAGAAATTAGAACTTGTGCAAATGTAATAATAATAATAATAATAAAAAAGAAAAGAATTCCTGCAATCGATTACATCATTGAATATATATATACATATAATCAGAAACGGAAAGAGGAGGTCAATCATACGACTTACCTAACTTTCAATCATTCTTTTTTTTTTTTATTGATATTTCTACAAGCATAAAATTTATGAATAAAAAATATA